GGCGGGCGTCCAGCTCCCCCACAGAAGCAGGAGTCGCAGACTTGCCCGCTCCTTGCAAAAAGCTAAGGCCGATAATTAGCGATTGTAAAATAATTAACAGTATTACCACGATAACGAAATAAAATAATTGTGAAATAATAAAATCTACGGGCACTTCACATATTGTTGCATTAGATCGACAGAATGATCGCGCGGGGGAACAGTGATCATCTGCGTTGTTGCCTGGGAGGAAACGGGGGCCCTACGTCACTTGACGGGCACCCGCCGTGGGGAAGGAGGAGGAACTCCAAGGGAAACTGCCGAGCAAACGCTGTGCGTTCTCCCATCGCGGGTTTGTATTCAGCTCAGTGGAGCACAGGGCGGTGGGTGTGCTCTCCACCCGGGCTGGGTTCAGCCTGCACCCCAAATCCCACTGGATCCTGTGCACCCCAGGGCCCAAAGGAGGTCAACTCTGCGGGAAGACTGAAGGAGAGGCCCCAGCCCCACGCCGGGCGCCCTCAGCCACAGCTACGGGTGCAGGCTTAGGAGGAGGCAAGGGAAGGGGAGGCTAGAAGAGAGCTCGGTACCTGTATATCGATGGGGCGGTTGCAGATTTTTCCCGGGTGAGCCGCCCGGAGGTCTGAAATTTTCTCCCCGCCTTTAGTCTGCGGCACTCTGTCGTGGTCGAACCACCCCGTCCATTCCACGTCTAGACAGAAAGCAAAGGGCAGGGTCGGGCAGGAAGGGCCCGCAAGGGCACGTCCCGCTCGGCGTGGCCCCGGGCGCCCCGAGGATGAAGACGGGATCTGCCATCAGCCCACTACTGGGGGCACCGAGGGGAGCTCTCTGCACCCCTGTCCCGCCCCGGCTGTCTCCCGTCCAGTGCTGCTGCTTGGCACAGAGAGAATTCAAGAGGGAGGGCGTCCCTCTGGGCTAGCGGCCGCACTGGACCGATTCATTAGGGACAGCTTTCCGTCCGTTGCAAATTTAATTTACGGCCATCCGGTGGCCTTGCGGCCGCAAGAGAAGCACGCTTGCTTTGCCAAGACGGGAAGTCCCGGCCACTGTTGGGTTTTGTCCTGGGGGCCCCAAAGTCCTCACCTTGAACCCACTCGCTGGATGAAGAAACGTTGAAATGCTCGCCGTGCTCTGTCTGGAACACTTTGAACACCCGGGCAGCAGCGGAGCCGCGGTGCCCTGCAGGAGAGACCAGACCCCCCCCCCG